ACTATCACAAGAATTAAAGCAGTAGTACTAGTAGTAGTAGCAGTAGTAGTAGTAGACTTCATACTTGGCTGTAATTCAACTTCACACTTGGCCATAATTCAACTTCACATCCTACATGGTCGTTCTTATGTTGATAATCCAGTCAATGCAGTTTGTCCTGATGCATATCCTGTTACATAAAGAGACGGTTATGGGAATTCGGGTTCAAAATTTCTTGCCAGATTTGTCTAAGTTATTGCGTTAATATTTCTGATTATGTAATATTACGTAAAATTGAGTCTTGTTATATTTAAGTCATGTTATAATGTTGTTACGTCATCAAAAACAGACCTAAGTTGTGTTTTGTTTCACTCACGCATGTCTGAGTAACGCTTTATTATTAGTTTGTCTACATCTCCAAAGCTCAAAACGCTCTGTTCCACTTTGTGATGTCACAGAAGCGGTTATAGTAGTAGTAGAAGTAGTATTATATTCATGTTTACAGCTACTTTTTTACCTTTAGTTCAGTAAAAATCGCAAATTCCAGGGCTGAAATGAGCCAAATGATTCCAGTGAAGGTGGGCGGGGTTTAAAAACACAGTGGAGCGCGTCTTGTATCACCACATGACATCACAAGGTGGAAAAACAAGGAGTGATTTCAGTTTGAGAGAAGAAATCTACAGGCCTAAATATGCAAGGTTTGGTTGCGTGTTGCACTTCTCCGCAGACCTGACCCGCAGCTCATCTGCTTGTCTGCATGGAGAACGAACGAGATTAAAGTCACACTGTGGAACATTCTCAGCAAAGTGAGCGATAAAATCTCCATGGAGACAAGCAAGTGTCAGACGCCAAAAACCAGAAACCAGAAACGTTACATATATTGCACCAAGTTTAAATGTGTATTGTGTAACTTTTCTGGTTGAGGGATCCGTCACCTGCTTGTTTCTATGGATACGCCACTGCTCTGCCTGAAATGTTCCACAGTGTGACTTTAAACAGCTCTATTTTACGTTTATTTATTCAGTTACGGGTGGTTTTATAGCTCGAAAATACCCAGAAAAACAGACATTCTGACTGTGAGCGGGGTCGCCTCTCCGCAGATCTGGCCTGTAACTTGGTCCGGTTTGGTCTCCACGGAGATAGAAAGGTTTAAAACCATACTGTGAAACATTCCAGACAAAGCAATAACGATTCCATGGAGAAAAAAGAGCATTTGACTGACCTTCCAGCAGAAAAATTACACAAAGCACATTCGAGATAGTCCATTTTCACACCGTATTTTTTAAATCTATACACTTTTTTTGATTTTATGATTTTTTTCTGAGCTGTAACTTCAAAATTCTCTAAAATACTGACGCGTTTTGTCTTTATACTGGTCCAATTTTCTCCAAAAGAGCCCTCTCATTCTTCTCCTCGACAGCGCACTGCATAATCACCTTTCGAAATCTCATTAAGGCCCTTGAATCGAAATGAACTACTCCAATATATTGATTTTTTTTTTTTTACCAGACAGGCAGTGGAACAGACAAACCAGGCAGAAAAACAGGATAGAATCTACAGACCGAAAGCAGGACTGGCAACCCCGGCTAAAAATACATCACCACTCACCCTTACATCATCAAACATCAAAACAAGGATTCACACCGACTTTGAACAACAGAGATTACATAAATTGTCCCGTATAATTCACAATCAATAAATATTTCGATAAGGTTCTCAAACGTAGAAACTAGAATCGAAACTAGATACTCATTGGAGCGGGTATTGATACTAAAAAAGTCACATAAACCGGTGTGAGATCGTATTTTACCCCCATAGTTTATCAACACACCGCTATAGTAAAGTGACCCCCCCTGTAGGATTTTGACTCCTCTTACTTTTTTCTTTAGTAGTTACTTCTTATCTGATCATTATTTCTCATGTAATTTACTTTTATTATATATTTCTACATATTCACTTTCTTTTAAGGTATTTTAAGGAATGTTTTGATGGATAACGACTTGGTATTTTGTGTAAATATTGTTTAAATTGCATATACATCGCAATTTTGTCACTTTTTATATTGTGTTTTACATTGTTATGGTTTTTAGTTTGTTGTGTTCAGATAATCCTTAATCATAATGTCAATTTAGGCAACGGTTTGTAAGAATAACGACCTTGAATTTAGTCATGTTGTGTTATAATAAACATATTGGGGGGTCAGATTACTATAATCATAAGTATCTCCTATTTAACTACTCAATTGATCAGCCCTGTCTGTTTTAACAAGATTCCAAATCATTATACATCACTTTTTTTTGATTACCTAACGAATTAATAACTATTTATCTCATTTTCAGTAAACATTTAAGTCATTTTTAACATTCAAAAGTTATAATCGATGTAAAAAATGCATCTGAGTTCTTCAAAAAACACTTTTAAATATGTCAGTGTTTTAATTTGCAGATATAGTATTAATATTCAAGGTTTTTCTATAGAATTCAAGTTCTTTATTAATAAAATATAGTTTTTCATAGGGGGGGTCAATATATTTCTATGGGGGGATCAATATACCATAATAGGATTCTGACCCCGGGGTGAAAATACTATATGGTATGTTGACCCCTGGGGTCACCTCAAAATCCTACCCCACACCGGACCTGGACCACACAAATATAAGACCACATGGGAAAAGAAAAGAAAGTACTAAGATTTAATGTTGAAAATCACATTCTATTGTCTAAATAAATAAAGTTTTTTATTATTGTTGTGGAATCGGTGTTGAGTATCGAGTAGGGGCGTGCAAAAATACAGAAATATCGATATATCGTGTCGTTTAATGTGATGATACAGTATCGATATCGTGGGCTGCTGTATCGATATATCGCCAAGTGTGTGTTTTGGTGTATTTTACTAAATAATTTTGTTACAGCTACAGTTTTGTTGCTTGTTTAGTGGAAGGAAACTTGTTTATGTGACACATTTGACATTTTCACTGTTTAAAATGTTTGTTTTTCATATGAACTTTGCACAAAAAGTGGTTTAACAAACACTTTTAGTATCACAGTCACGATTTAGCCCTTATTTTTCATTGAACAGTATCGAATCGATTTGAAATATATCGTATTGAATCGTATCGAGTCGAAAGCTCACTGTATCGAGCAACTTCTAAATGATACCCAGCCCTAGTATCGAGTCTATTCCTTAGTATCGAAATCAAGTTTAAAATTTTTTAATCGTGATTCTTGACAACACTATAGTAGTATTTATTAGTTTTGTTTTCCACAAGTTTATACTGACTATTTTATTTATTACAGTGTATATTTGGACTATAAATGCCACATATTACTGTCTCTACTGATTCAAAAACACTGATTACAAACTAAATATAGATTGTAGATATGTTATTGACAATACAACAAGTAAAAAAAAGCGTTTGTCTCACCATTTCGTGTTCATTTTGGTTTTAGAATAGACTATAGTTGTATAAGTATAATATTGTTGAAACATTAAACATAAAAGGAATCAATGAAAAGGAGCAGAAAGAATCATATCGAATCGAAAACTCACTGTATCAAGATATGTATCGTATCGGCAGCTTCTGAATGATACCCAGTCCTAGTATCGAAATCAAGTTTTACATTTTTTTATCACGACAACACTATAATAGTATAGTTTTGTTTTCCACAAGTTTACACTACAAACAAATCATTATTTCATTTAATACAGTGTATGTTTGGACTATAAATGCCACATATTATTGTCTCTACTGACTCAAAAACACTGATTACAAATTAAATATAGACATGTTCATGACAATATAACAAGTAAAAAAAGCATTTGTTTAACCATTTTGTGTTCATTTTGGTTTTAAAATAGACTATCCGGGATCACTGTTTACTCTCTGTATAAAATATTAAGTGTTTAATACACAGATAGAAATACAAAGTTGTCACGCAGGTCTAGCTTACATCATATGATTTCATTAATTTGATTCATGTGTTTATCTAATTCATAAAGTATAATATTGTTGTAACATTAAACATACAAGAAATGAATGAAAAGGAGCAGAAAGAAGAGTATTTTTTGATGTTATCTGCATCCTTTTCTTTTTTCCTGACAATATATTAACACGAATAGTTACTTTGCACACTATATTACATACATTGCATGGCTGGTTGCATTAATAAAAGAGTAATAAATAGAGAATAAGAGACAATTCATGCTAAAATACTGGGAATATATAATAGGAATATAATAAAATATATATAAATTAAATATAATAAAAATACTGGGAATGTATAATAGGAATATAATAAAAAAATATATATAAATAAAATATATAATAAAATATAAAAAATACTGGGGATATATAATAGAAATATAGTAAAATATATAATAATAAAATATAATAAAAATACTGTGAATATAAAATAGGAATATAATAAAAAAATATAAAAATAAAATATAATAAAAATACTGTGAATATATAATAGGAATATAATAAAAATATATATAAATAAAATATAATAAAAATACTGGGAATATATAATAGGAATGTAATAACTAATTTGAGTAAAACTAGAAATGTAAACAGACACAAAGACAAGGCATTGGATGTTTTATGCACTTAAGTGACTTGCCTTGCATTGTGGCGAGCAAATCTATAAAAACAACGCAATTCCTGAGATAAAATGTTAAGTTATTCTAATGCAACAACAATGTTTTATACTATTAGAAACCCTTCGTGCATTGGCTGTCTCACTGTATGTGTCAGTGGCTAATCTTGTCACTAGCTCGCTCTTTTGCTCGTTGTAATCCACAGATTTACGTCCGTGCGTTGGTTTTAAAATCGTAAAATGTGCTTAAAGTTTTGTGTTTGCAGCCCAGGCGTAAATTGGTGTCATAAAAATTCACAATCTGCTGCAGTAAGCTCGTTTTTAGGGGGAGCTACCGGTGGTACAAAAGAGACGCACAGCTGTCCCGGACACTTACCGCATTTTCTGTAAAAAACACGCCGCGATTATGCGCTGAAATCTTACCTGCGCAAGATCCGGGTCCTGCCGCTTTATAAACACGCTAATTTATTGATTCTGATGTGTTAAAATGTCCCAAAAACGTGCGGGTTTCAGTGCGTTGTCAAGAGGAGATGTCCACGGTCAGGCTCGTCTGTGTAAAAATACAACTTCAGATCGTGCGCCGTAATGGACAGTGTAAACGCGCAAACAAGATCTTAGTTTTTTGTTTTGTTTTTTTTTCTTCCTTAGATTCAGACAAACTATTGAGCCACAAGGCGAATTATTTGGACATAGTAGCTCACACATCATAATATAGTATAATAAAAAAAGAGAAAAAATGTAAATACTACTAACAAATTCTAAATAAGAAGCAAAAAAAGAGCAAGAAACAGGTATAAAACAAGACGTAATTATGTAAAAGTAAATGGACAAGTCAAAATAAAAATCGAAAAATAAAAATAAATTATAAAATCTCATGGACAGGACACAGGAAGTATTATTTGTTACATAAGGGTGAGTTGTTGTACACTTGTAGGGAGTATTATCTATATACATATATATAATACTCCCTACAACTTTATAACAACTCACCCTTATGTAACAACAGATAATACTCCCTACAACTGTACCTTACAACTCAACCTTATCTGTTATAGAAGAGTAAGTTGTTGTAGTTGTTGTACAGTTGTAGGGAGTATTATATGTTACATAAGGGTGAGTTGTTGTGCAGTTGTAGGGAGTATTATATGTTACATAAGGGTGAGTTGTTGTGCAGTTGTAGGGAGTATTATATGTTACATAAGGGTGAGTTGTTATGCAGTTGTAGGGAGTATTATGTTACAAAAAGCTGATTTGTACAGTTGTAGGGAGTATTATCTGTTACATAAATGTGAGTTGTTGTACAGTTGTAGGGAGTATTATCTGTTGTTACATAAAACTGAGTTGTCGTACAATTGTAGGGAGTATTATATGTTACAGAAGGTTGTGCTGTTGTCCAGTTGTAGGGAGTATTATCTGTTACATAAGAGTGAGTTGTTGTACAGTTGTTGGGAGTATTATCAGTTATATAAGGGTGAATTGTACAGTTGTAGGGAGTATTATCTGTTGTTACATAAGGGTGAGTTGTAGTACAGTTGTAGGGAGTATTATCTGTTACATAAAGGTTAGTTGTTGTACAGTTGTAGGGAGTAATATCAGTTGTTACATAAGGGTGAGTTGTTGTACAGCTGTAGGGAGTATTATTTGATTCTTAAAGGTGAGTTATACAATTGTAGGGAGTATTAAAGTCCAGATTATTTATTTATTTATTTTTTCATTTTGAGGTAAAAATGGGTTGGTCTGTAATAATAAAATAATAATAATAAATAATAATAATTTAAAAAAATGAATATTGAAAAAATAAATAAATAAAATAAAAAATTGTTTCACTCCCTGACCTTCTGAGTGGCAGCAGGGTACAGCAGTTTTCATTATTTATTTTTCTATTTTATTTTGACTTGTACAATTTGCATCAATATTGTGTTTCATGTTATAATTAAACAATATAACTTGTTTTCTTATGTGTTTTCTTTGTTTATTAAATGTGAACTTGATCCGATAAAACCCACTGTGTTGTTAGTAAATTATAAACTTAAGTGTCTAATGAATAACACAGCGCGCATCTACATCTAGCGGAGAATCACGTGTATTACATTTTAATGAAAATTATTGTGCTTGTTTTTTCTGACTTTTACGGTAATCTCGCTCCACTAAACACTAACACGAACCAATCAGCGACGAGGAGAGGCGGGACAAATAACGGGGCCGAAATCTGTAGTTGCCAGGTTTATTTATTTATCACGACTTTATTTTATTCCTGGACTGTTTTTGTTAAATGTTAGAAGCTGCGTTTTTGGTAATAGACAACTTTAGCTCAATATTTAGCAAAATATGAGATTGATTATCAAGCTGTGTTGACTTATTTAGGCCCACAGTACTGAATAGTTATGTTTTGAAGCAATACACAACAATATCATAAAATTTTATACAAGAAATGTCCCAAGTGTCGCTATTTTTGACAAATCTAATACCTGTGTAGAGTAGAAAAAGGCATAAATTGTTATTTGTTGAGGTAAAACACAGAAAAGCTGCTTAAAAATGCCCAAAACACAAAGAAAATGTGACTATACTGACTCACACGTTCAAAATTCTCCTTAATTACGAACTCGTTTCACTATTTTATTATTACCAACCACCACAAACCGAGGGGAGTTCCAGTTTTTAATCTTGAAAATCTGATCACTTTACCATTTACTATATGCGTATTTGTCTGACTTAAGTAGCTTATTCTGAACGTAAATACTTATTTTTAGAGACTTAACTGCGTGTTTCTTTCGTGAGATCTGGCAACCCTGAGAATCTGCCTCCTCTGCGGAATAACGGGGACATCTCTGATTATAATGGCTTAAAAGTAACAAATAAAAAAGTGCAGTTCATTTTGATGTGAAACCGGAGCAGAATGCGGATCAGGCGGCTCCAAAAAGCAAACACATTGAGGTACGTAAACTGTGCTTTTAAAGGAGACGTAACTGAGCCGACGTGAGTGCTTTGAGCTGCTAATGCTAATGCTACCTGTCATTTGCACTGATCATTGTTTACATTTCGATTAAGCTCGTTTTTAATCGTGAAACTCGCTTATTTTAACACGTGCATATGTTATTTTAACCAATAATACTCTATCTCTAACTTAATCGTTTATCTGTTACTCATATTTCTGATTATTTTATTGAAAACTGCGCTTTATCCAACCTTTTGTGTGTTTATTTACGTTTGTTATACATGCATCACGAATTTCGGACTTTCGGTCATCGTGCATTGCATACTGGGAAGGATTTTCCGAAAAAGTGAGCATCAAACAACCGCCAAGTTTGATTTCGCAGTGCGATGTGTCTATTGTCAAAGCCGATCTTTTCAAGTCTTTTGAACCATATCACTTTTGTTTCTGGTTCTGATATTGTCATATTTTAGTTTTGGGATTCGGACATCGTAATTGTGTGGTTGTTGGATGTCCTGACAGCGGAAAACGTCTCGAGAAATTTGTTTGCGAATTCCATAACCGCAAAAGGGAATCAGATCTATCTGTTCAAACTGTTTCTCTTCCCAACGGAATTGAAAAATAGTGAAAGGCGAAGGCGATGGGCAGGATTGATCAACAGGAAGGACCAAAAAGGAAACCTTTGGCTGCCTAAGAAATAATCCCGAGTTTGCAGCGAACATTTTGTATGTGGAGCGACAACAAAGCAAAATCCTGATCCCTCGCTCAACCTCGGTTACGAATTTAAAAAGTCAACACCAAAGTGAAAGGCACCAGCTGTTCACCAAGAAACACCTTCCACTGCAAAGAGACCAAGACGTGATGCTGCTGTAAAACCACAAGAACAAGAAAGTGCAGCTCAGTCTGTTTGTCTTCTGCGCCTCTCACTTAACAAACGGGATTTTGCTTTGTTGTCGCTCCACATAGAAAATGTTCGCTGATGATTTCTTAGTCACCCTTTTTGGTCCTTCCTGTGTAACAATCCTGCCCATCGCCTTCACCTTTCACTATTTTTCTTTTCTGCTGGGAAGGGAAACAGTTTGAATGGAGGTTTACAGTCACACACATCTGATTCTCTTTTGCATTTGTGGATTTCGCAAACAAATTTCTCGAGTCATTTTCCGTAGTTAGGATCCACCAACCACACAATTACGACGTCCTAATCCCAAAACTAAAATATCAGAACCAGAAACAAAAGCGATATGGTTCAAAAGACTTGAAAAGATCGACTTTAACAATAGACGCATCCCACTGGGAAAAGAAACATGGAGGTTTGATGTTCACTTTTTCGGAAAATCCTTCCCAGTATGGATTGCGAAATGACGCAAGTCCGAAAATTCTTGATGCATGTATACTGGCTTGTATTTTTACTCTGCACTTCTTATGAATAAATGTAGCCTATGTAACAAACTATCTCGTCTACATCATAAACGTAAACAGACTGGCTCCTATTTCCTTATCTCATTATTATCTAGGCTATTATTTATTCTGCATGTATAATTATTCAAATATTGTTTCAGCACCTCCGCAGATAAATCTCTTAAAATAGAAACTTCCTCTTCTGTAACTTACCTGTTCTTACTTTTTATTCTGTAACTATAATGATGCATAAATGTACCTCAGCACGTAACAAAATATGTCATTTATTCAACTACAGGTGTTAGTTATTGCTCAAAAATCTAATTAAAATTGGAGATTGGAGATTCTTATGTTTATGGCCATACTGTGGAACTTTCTTGATATATTTCCATGGAGACGAGCAGGTGATCAGACAAGTTACACTGCACATATAATAAAAAAGCACACACACACTTATATTGAATGGCATTTGTAAAAGAGCTGCTTTTTCTGTGTTGTTCTGTTTTAATCTGGGCCTTTATGCCTGTTTATGTAACTGTATGTAAAGCACCAGAAAAGTGAAAAAACTGTATAAATAAAAGTTAAATTAAAGTTATTATTATTATTATTATTTAACTTCTCTTATTCTTGCCTATAGTTTATGGGTCAGTGACATGACGTTGGCATTTTTGTGTCCGGAAGCCACAACTTTTCTAGTTAATAAAATATAAAGGTTTAAACTGTTTAAATGTGAACAGACTTGTGCCTGTTGTCGCTAACATTTAACTCAAAAATATTTGCATTTCTTTTACATTTTTATTTGTATCATTTAACTCACTACAATATATTTGCTACCATATTAAAGTAATAACTTTCATTTAAAATGTAATTAAAGTAATACATTTGTAATTATTCAAAATGCAATTGGACAATAAATATATTAAAGGTAGTTAGATGTTTTGTTGTGTGATTTGGGTGAGTTTTTATAAGGTCAGTTTCAAACAACCTGCCATTTTTTTGTATTTCAGTGAACTGACACTTGGTAAAACAGCAGATGTCATTCAGTGAAACGCTGATATTACAGTGAAATGTGTCAGAAAAAGTGTGTTTTGACATAAAACTTAAACATGTTAGCACTTTCTCTCATTAAATTTAAGTTTTATCCAGTTTTGAAGTGTTTTACTCTTTTTATGAAAAAAATCGACACCAGAGTTGAGAGTAAATGCCGTATTAAGGAAAATGGTGGAATTCTTCAAAGCTTTAAAAAAAAAAAAAACATTTTTAATGGCGTACTTTTTATTTGTAGATCTCAGTTTATGTTTTTCAAAATTTTAAATAATATAAGTTATTTTAAAAGTAATTCCATTTTAGCCATAAGTCCATTGCACCAAATGACATTTTTAAGACGTCCCTGGCTTTAAATGCAGAAGTTTTTTTCAAGGGGCAAATACAAAATGATAAAATATACACTTAAATATACCAGAAAATGTACACATTTTGTATGTCGTTATATATTTTCATTTTTTGAGCATCTGAAAACTGCAAAACGTCACTGACTTTTACACCACAAATGCAAAGTGAATGTTTGCATTTGTATGATTAAATATTTACCTTGTATCTCGTCTTTCTGTAGATTTCCAGCTGATGTTCTGTCCTGATCCTCTTCCGTTTCCATCATGTCTCTGGCTCAGAGGGTCCTGTTGACTTGGGTCTTCACCCTGATTTTTCTCATAATGCTGGTCCTCAAACTGGACGGGAAGGTAAAATAACAGACTTTTTGTTTGTGTAGAATCCCTCAGTCATTCAGGTAGAATCCAAGGCAAAAGAGAAATTTAATTACTCAACTGGACACTGGACACCTGACGTTTGTTTGTCCAGTTGACTAATTGAATTTCTCCTTTGCCGTGTTTTTTTGAGATACTCATTAGGTTTGGCAGACATTTAAAAGGAAATAAAAGAATATTAAAACCAATGCAAAAATGCACAGGGAACAAGTGAAGAGACTGAAGGACGGGGACATGTGGTCAAATTTACATGATCCAGTGAAAAGGCGAGCGGCTGCGTTTTGCATTAACTGTAAACAGGAGAGTGAAGAATAAAGTCTCCATGGAGAAAAGCATCTGATGGACCCATCACCATAAAAGTTACATAGTGCACCTTTAACTGACATCTCTTGAAACATGTCTTCATTGTAAAGATCAAAAATATTGATCTAAAAACAGTATATAACAATTTTTAGAATTTTTCAAAACCATGAAATTGTAAGTATCCCTTTACCATATTTTTCGGACTATAAGTCACACTGGAGTATAAGTCGTACTTTTTTGAGGGAAATGTATTTTATAAAATCAGAGACCAGGAACCGACATTTCATCTTGAAAGTCAAATTATAGTAAAAACAACAGAAGAGAGAACAACAGACTGTTAACGTCACATATGAACAGTTCTTCAGATAATTATAGCATAAACAACAGAACAAGTTTAACAAATTCTCCATCTCACTCCAAATCACTAAATCTATTCAATTCTTCATCCTCGGTGTCACTTCTGAGCAACTCCACGACCTCCAGAGGTAAACAGACGCCGCTTCCTCTTCTGTGTCGCTGTCGTCAGACTCAGCATCAGTTCCAGTTAGAATTATTCTGGCCTTTCTGAATCTCGACAGGATGGTTTCGGTGTCACTGAAGTCCAGACTTTGTCCATCCATCCAGTGACTTCAGGAAAGTTTCATGGTGCATCCTCCCGATGTCACAAGTTTCTCTCTCACTCCAAACTTTGTTTCTGCTGCTCGATTATCGTTTTCAGCTGCAGATTTCGCTACTTGCAGTTTGTAATCTGCAAAATCTGATTTTCTTTTTGAGCATTTGTGTTCAGTCTTCTCTGTCGTCTTTATAAGTTTGTTTAAATGTTAAATTTTCAGTGGTACAGAAGTAATGGTGTGATTGACTGACATGATACAGACAGGACAGAGGCTCTTTCTGCAGGAGACATGTGCAGTAGAGCCAAGTGACAGTGGTACAGGAGGAACAGGAGCAGCAGATACTCACACACAAGACTAGAACCTCTCGACGCTTCAGTCTGAAAATATTAATATATTCAGTTTAATTAAATCTTTATTAAGAACACATAATATCTGGTTCATAGTATTAAAAAAATATATAAATATAAGTCGCACCGGAGCATAAGTCGCAGGAAACACCCAAACCATGAAAAAAAATTGCGATTTATAGTCAGAAAAATACGATACTTACAATTCTTCATCCAACTAGATTATTAATTTTTTTTTTCCTTTTTTCAGGTGCAGTGGAATTGGTTCCTGATCTTCCTCCCCGTGTGGGTGTTCGACGGCATCCTCATCCTCATGCTGGCGATAAAGATGGCGGGGCGCTGCAAACCCGGGTACGACGGGCGGAACGGCTCCCCCGACCTGCGTCTGCGCGCCTGGTACCTGAGCGCCATGCTGCTCAAACTGGGCTTCTGCCTCACCCTCTGCGCCAAACTGGAGAGACTGGCCGACGTGAAGCTGACGTTCGTGTGCATCCCGCTCTGGACCATGCTGCTGGGAGCGCTCATCGAACTGGGCCTCAACATTTTCCCCGAGAGGAGAGAGGCCTAGAGATACACCACCACGGGATCAAAACAGTCTGACATTTTTGTGAGATTAAAAACTTTGGTACAATTTAAATACGCACTGAGTAACTTTCTGGTGCAGGTCGGCCACCAGCTCGTCTCCATCGCCTGAAATGTTTCTCAATCTGTAGTTTAGTTTGAATCACTCTTTATTTGTCAGGGACCTTTGTACAAATTCATTAAGCTTTTAAAAAAGATCATTTGTACCAGATTTTGTTCCTTGGGCAGATGAACACACTAAAAGACACTAAAACACATTAAAAATACACAGTTACAGTGATCCTTCGTTTATCGCGGGGGTTACGTTCTAAAAATAACCCACAATAGGTGAAATTGTATTATTTTTTACACTTATTATAAATGTTTTAAGGCTGTAAAACCCCTCACGACACAGTTTATACACATTTCTCAACACTTTTTACATCCTTCTTAAAACTTATCACTGCTGTCGTCCTTTTGTTATTTTCCTCCTTCTTTATGTAACGAACCGAAGATTAATTTATTCCGTTACGCCGCTTTCAGACGCGTAACTTCTACCTTCCGTCAGCGTGTCCAGAAGTCCAACTTTTTGTGCGACGGTTTGCATCTTCGTTGACATTCTGCGTTTTGTCGGGGAGAAAACTTGCAAACATACAGCACTTCAGAATCACACGGCTAGAGATTGAACGTTTATGTAAATTTGGCAGCTGAACGCATTTTGTACTGAACAAGAAACACGGCACGGAGGAGATTGATTGACAGGTGTACAGTCTTAGCCAATCAGGACGCAGGGGGAGGAACACAATGCACCTTCGTACTCTGTAAAAAGGCCGCGAAAGGTGAACCGCGTTATAGCGAGGAACGACTGTACATTAATCTTACATCTTATTGATAAAAATCTTATTGACAAAAAAAAAAAACTCCACAGATCTAAACTGTAACTTGGCCTGGTGATGTCGCCTGCCTGTTACCATGGAGATAGATTAGTTTAATGACATATTGTGCGCGTTCATACACTGTTAAAAAAAAAACAGGCAAAATTGCACACAAAAAAATCTGCTAAACAGCGAGACTGCGAAAGGTGAACCGCAATATAGGGAGGGACAACTGTACTTTGTAACTTTAAACATCCTTTAAACATTAGTAAATTACATTTCTGGAATGTTCCACAATATGACATTCCATTTTTCATCTTACATCTTATTGATAAAAATCTTATTGACACCTTATTGATAAAAAAAACCTCCACAGATCTAAATTGTAACTTGGCCGGGTGGCGTCGCCGGACTGTTACCATGGAGATAGATTAGTTTAATGACATATTGTGCGCATTCATACACTGTTGAAAAAAAAACAGGCAAAATTGCACACAAAAAATCTGCTAAACAGCGAGACCGCGACAGGTGAACCACGTTATAGCGAGGGACGACTGTACATTATAACTTTAAACATCATTAACATTAATAAATTACATTTCTGGAATGTTCCACAATATGACATTAAATTATTCATCTTACATCTTATTGATAAAAAAACCTCCACAGATCTAAACTGTAACTTGGCCCGGTGGCGTCGCCGGACTGTTACCATGGAGATAGATTAGTTTAATGACATATTGTGCGCGTTCATACACTGTTGAAAAAAAAACAGGCAAAATTGCACACAAAAAATCTGCTAAACAGCGAAAACGCGAAAGGTGAACCGCAATATAGCGAGGAACAACTGTACATTATAACTTTAAACATCATTAACATTAGTAAATGATATTTCTGGAATGTTCCACAATATGACATTAAATTATTCATCTTACATCTTATTGATAAAAAAACCTCCACAGATCTAAACTGTAACTTGGCCCGGTGGCATCGCCGGACTGTTACCGTGGCAATAGATCAATTTAATGACATATTGTGCACGTTCATACACTGTTAAAAAAAAACAGGCAAAATTGCACACAAAAAATCTCCTAAACAGCGAGACTGCGAAAGGTGAACCGTGTTATAGCGAGGAACGACTGTACGTTATAACTTTAAACATCATTAACATTAGTAAATTAAATTTCTGGAATGTTCCGCAATATGGCATTCAATTATCCATCGTACAGGCTTTTTACTGATTAAAAAAAACTCCACAGATCTAAACTATAACTTGGCCCGGTGGCATTGCCTGCCTGTTACCATGGAGATAAATCAGTTTAATGACATATTGTGGAACAGTGCAGGCAAAGATATGACATCCCCATGGAGACACGTGGCAGACCCTTCACTAGAAAAGTTACATAGTGCGTCTTTAAAGTGTTTAAAAGCGAACAGCAGCTCTAAAGCAAAGATGGCTGAAGTCTCTTTCTTTTTTTTCTTTTTTTAGTCGTTTTTTTGCACATGTTACTCCTGGTACTAACAGAACTCTTTTAGGAATAAAGTTTTTGCTTCTTGGCCCAGAAACAGTGAGATTACTTCAGTCAGTTTCGGTCAGGAATCGGAAAACACTAGACGGTTTTGCAAGAACCCTGGAAGTTGTAGACCGTGCACCAGCCAATCAACGAAGAGCTGTGAAGCCATGACGTCAAACTCAAGCGTCTGTCTGGATCGCTTTTGTGGAACAGCACAACAGTAAACAAAGCGTCGAGATGGATGTAGACGAAGACAGACATTCTGTGTTGGCAAGGATTCCTGAGATCGAGGATTTAAAGCCGGAACAAAGAGAATGTTTGGTGAATTTTATGAAGAGGAAAGACGTTATTGTCCTTCTTCCTATGGGATTTGGAGCATTACATACGTCACGACCAAACAACAGCGATTGGTTAAATAAAAAAAAGTACCTGCCTACAGTCGAACGAACGAATCCTAATGCTGTGAGGTCAGACGGTTTCCACGAAGTGAAACTGACTGAATGATGTAAAGCTCTTTGGGCGTCTTGAAAAGCGCTGTATAAATCCAGTGCATCAGAAACGGTACTCTTACTCGAGTATAACTTTGCTGTTCTTTTCTCACTAACGCTCAAAAGTAGAAATGCACCGATCCAAGTTTTTCTGTTCTGATATCGATGTCAGTACTTTGGCTTTAAGTATCACTAATGCCGGGTGTACACTGTGCGATGTCACTGAGCCCCAGATTAAACTGTACGACCAAATCACAGGGTTTAAAAGTTCACAGCTCACGAATCATGTTCTCACACTGAACAAACCGATGCTCAGGATGTGACCTGCCTGAGCACAATGTACGTTCACATAACGACTGGAGTTGTTGTTCCAGAAGTAGAAAACCACGTAATTAGAAAACCACAGACGTGTGGAGACACAGTGTTGATCCAGGCAAAAAACAGACACGCTGCCTTGGCAATTTGTGTAATTCTTTGTGCAGACAAGCCCAAAAAGAAGAGGCGACGAATCTGGTCAAAGAAATGTCTGGGCAGACGTGGGCAGTACGAGTTGTCAGTTCTTCAGAAGGAACTGGAGTTAAGTAGCATCAAGTTTTTCACCAAACTTCTGTTCTGTGTTGCTCGATTAGCTGCGTCCTCCATGTCCTTTGTCCAAAACAGTCGCCGGCGCCATCGTCCTCCACAAACTCATATCCTGCTTCCACTTCTGTGTCCGCACATGGTCAGTCTGACAGATTCTGGCAAATCGACTCATGGAACGACTTCAACAGAGCGAAACCATCACAAGAGGCGACTGGATTTCAAACAAAATTGATATTCTTGCAACCTACGAATGCTGGTCGTGAGGTATTAATCGTTTTTCTTTACCCCATGTTACTACACGAAGCACGACACACGATGAAGCCATAACTCGATCCCCAAAACAGTCGCACGAGTGAAAAATCGGCTCAGAAAAGGTCAAAAATCGCAGTGTACGCCCGGCTTAACGAGATCCGACATCAACACGATTCTAGAGCAGAGACTGAAAATATGATTTATCTTCAGGGTACGGTCAAAATGATCCAAATGTGTTTTATAAATAGTTTAATATTACGACATGTTTTGGGCCAACAGTTTCCAGTAAATCATCTTATTTCACCCGTTTCTAGACCAAAATGGAATATCGGCTGAACTGAATTGATCTTGATCCACCGATATTTTCAATAGCAACTCGTTCCATTTCTGTAGTAAAAATTCTTGCCCATTCCCAGTTTCAGAAATGTAAATAAAAAGCTATTACTCATTATTTTATTTCAGACAGCAGTGATTTGTTTTTCCAGCTGAGCAAATGGACTTAATCAACCACAAACGAATCACAAACAAATATTTAAAAGGGACCAAACCGCTGTTGCCATGACTACTGAAAAATCTACACTGGAAATTAACACTACATTTTTCTTCTGCTGCTTTTCTGCACAAAATGACAAGGCCTGGATCCGTGCTGTTTATCCAGATGCTGCTTAAATCTCTGTCGTTGTCTTCTCTTTGTAAACGGAGGGTCCAAATCGAATTACAGCAGCTCACGTTTGATTGTAAAAGTGTAAAATATTTGTAGATTCATCATTTTTAGTCAGAAATTGTCACGTCGAGATCTCCGGTACTGAATAGAAAGGCAAAAGTCTTAAAAACGCTTATAGTTTTAATTTGCCAGTGTTTAAAATAAAAGTACAATTCTTTTATATGTTTTCAAATGTATGTAGAGAAAATTGTGCATTTATTTATTTTTGTGCCATTCCATTGGATTCTGAAACCTCCTCTGTAACTCTTGCACTATGTTGAGAAGAAGTGTTAGTGACTTGTTTAAATGCATGTCCTGTTAAAATAAAAACGATTTTGCACTCAGTTACAACAGTGTGGATTTGTTTTTTAATCAGTTCAATGGTAATTTGGGAGATTTGTATGCTGAAAGTTAAAAATAAAGCATCCAGTGTCTGACCAGAACTGAAGAAGCAGCTTGGACGAGCTGCGAAAATGAATCAACCAAATAAACATTTGTCCAGTTGACAAATTTAAATTCTTCTTTTGCCTCAAATTCTACCTGAACGACGAGGGATTTTACACACATCATAAATAAAGTTTTTACAGTTTTTAGACTTCAAGCTCCACACCACAGATTGTATAAAAATATGATATTTATATATAGAGTCTATGCTCCACATCATAGACTAGGGGTCATCAATCTAAGGCCTGCGGGTCGACTCTGGCCCCCAATGCCCCTTTGACCGACCCCTCTGCACTCACCACTTGAACTGGCCATATGAGGCAATCCTCAAACATTGTCATGGTCTATTTTTTAAATTACTTTTTGGCAAATAATATCACGTCAGCGTCTTGTATTTTGTAGATTTTTAAGTATTTACATTTAGATTTAAATAATTATATAACGTATTTTCATTTGCTGCCAAATTTTCGTCACCTGACAAACAGTCGCATGCGCAGAGTTCTGTAGTCCAGTTAAAAACAGAAAAATTACTCGTGTTAAAGTACAAAAACTTGACAGAGGGTGCCAAGTTTTCAAAGAACAGTGGACGATTATTTTTTTGTTCAGTGTAAGGACCGTGCAGTTTGTCGGATATGTAAAGAGAGAGTGGCAGTTTTCAAAGAATATAATCGACGTTGTCAGGGTCAAATAATTCTGTTATACGGCCGACCCGAGCCCAGCCCCCATCACAATCAGGAGAGATAATGTGACTCCCAGAGAAAAAAGTTTGGTGACCCCTGCCATAAACTGTATAAAAATATATTCATATATACAGTCTATGCTTCACACACAGGAGCACGGTGGCGTATTGCTGCCATCCACTGGTCGTCCGTGGTACTGCAGTAGAGAAGCTTAGCCCACACTTTCAAATGGAGATTACTGAGATAATCAGAGCTCTAGAATGATTTAGGGAAATTGTCCTGTGCATTTCACCCATCGTTTCAGGATCATCTCTATGATTTTATAGCTTGGCTTGGTCAGGATTACTTTAGCTGGAGGAGTTGACCTGCCTGTGGTGCATGTTTTTGGGTTGATGGGCGACACCGGATTATACTGATACAGCTCAAGATCATTCTAAAGCGATTCAAGAAAGGTTCATTTCTGTCCTGTGAATGTGACCAAGACGCTAGAGATGCTCACAGATTATATCTCTGGCATAGAAACTGCACAGACCTGTCTATCCATCCATCCATTTTCTTCTGCTTTACCCAGGGCAGATTCGTGGTGGCATCAGTGCGAGCAGGGAGGCCCACACTTCCCTCTTCACATACACTTCGTCCAGCTCAGGCAGTCCCAGGCCAGCCCAAAGACATAGTCCCTCCAGC